GCGGGGGGCCTTCCGCGGCGACCGCGCCCACGTCGACCACGCGCTGCTCGCCTTCAACGAGTGGATTCAGGCCTGCGTCCGGCTCACCACCATCGACTGGGGCGCGGAGTGGAAAGGGGCCTACGACGACGCGGCCTTCCGCACCGTCCGGGACCGGCTGCGGGTGGTGGTCACCCTCCACGCCCTCCTTCGCGAGATGAGCGAACTTCTGCGGTCGGAGCAGATGCACGCCTTCCGGACCGACGCCCTTTGGGGGGTTTTCGGGGCAATCGACCTCTTTTGCCCCTCCCCGGTGGTGGAGAAGCAGTGGGGGGTCTGCGTCGGCGCCTTTTACCACCGCCTCGAGCCGATGGAGCACCGCTGCGCGGCGGCGCTGAAGAACTTCTTCGCGGCCCACGCGGACCTGCCGCCGCAGATCGTCCTCAAGGAGTTCGAGACCTTCCGCGAGCTCATGCAGCGCCCGATCATCGCGACGGAGCTCATTTATGAGCGCGACAGCTTCCTCTCCAAGATGAGCGAGCGGCTCCACACCATTCTCATCGAGTTTGAGCACCGCTCGGGCGGCGTCGAGAACGAGTCGATCCTCGAAGAGGAGGACCGGCGCTGCCAAACCGGCCGCTTTATGCCGGCCATCGTGAATAACATCATCTGGCTCCGCCAGCTCCGCCACCGCGTCGAGGAGATGCTCAAAATCAGCACCTCGATTCTCTCGGATTTGCGCACCGTGAAGGACTTCGAGACGTCCTGCAAAAAGCTCCTCGAGGATATCGAAGACTACTCCCAAGAAGTCTACGTCGATTGGGTTCGCGATGTCGAGGATCAGTGCCGTAAGTTCACCCTCGACGCCGACGCCCCGCTCATTAACATCAACGTGGAAGGAAAGGTCGAGGTGAACTACTCGGAGCGCCTGGTGCAGCTCATTAAGGAGGTCCGCATCTTCGCCTCGCTGGGCTACCGAATTCCCGATCGCATTCACAAAATCGCGAAAAAAGGACTCCAGTACTACTCCAAAGGCCTCTCGCTCAAGAAGATCGCGAACACCTACAACGGGATGACGGAGGACATCATCCCCAGCACCCAGGCGATGCTCTTGAACCCCGCGGTGAACTTTGAAAAGGCCATTACGGCGAACGGCAGCGCCCAATTCACGTGGAAAGGCAAAGAGGAAACGGATAACTACATCCGAAAGCTCCACGTGGCCTCGCAGTTGCTCACCGACTCCAACCGCCGCCTCCACAAACTCCACAACAAAATCAAGCAGTCCGTTTCCGAGCTCTTCGGCATCGACCTACTCCAATCCCGGCATCGCTGGTTCAGCAAGGTCATCGGGATTCGCGAGAAGATCGAGGCCAGCGGGTTCGAGCACATGGCGTCCTGGAAGGTTTACTGGGATATGCAGCTCTACAAAGCCCTGGAAGCGCAATATCAGTACGGCCTGGAAAGCCTTCACGAGACGATGGGGGAGATTAAGGCGGATATCATCTACGACGCGGAATCCGGCCAGGCCGCCTTGCGACCTTCCCTCGTAGCCATTCGACAGCGGTATTATCAGGAAATTAAGGATTTTATCACCTTTCCCATTACCTTTCAGGGCTGCAGTGGGTCGATTTTCTTTCAGGATATGCCCGCGCGAAATGAGCAGGGCATCTTTCTGGCCATGCAGCATGCCTCCCATCTGTTTCGCCAAGTCCAGGCCGAGCTCAAGCGATTTACCCCGATGCTCGTGATCGGTGGCTGTGGAAAGGGGGACAATCCAACCCTGGAGGAGATCGTCGAAAGCGCGTTATCCGAGGTCCAGCACTGGGAGCAGGCGATACGGCTGCTGAAACAAAAAGGAAAGGAAATTAACAGCGAGGATCTTTTTATCAAGTGTGGCTGCATTACCCTTTGTACGGCAGAGATTAAAGGCACCGTGGACGAGCACCTTTTTAAACTTGCCGAAATCCTCAAACAAACGCTAAAGAAGAGCGCGGAGAAGCATCTGAAATGTATTGAAAAGTACCTTGCGCAGGTTTCGCACTGTTTAGATGCCCGAGTCAAAGACCTCGATGAGATTGGCGACGCCAACTTGCTGTATACCGAATTGCTTGATCAACGCTCCACCAAAGAGGTGGAGTTTCATCACTTCTACAACAAAAATGTCCTCCTGCAGAGCATGACGGGCTCCGCGGGGATTAACATCGCCCAAAC